ACCTCGACGAGTAAAACATGACTCGTCGGTCCATAATATGTGTGATAAAAAATTTCCGTCGTTTTCAATTGAGTTAAGAATCCACCGAGAAAAAGCTATTCTATGTTCCTCGTCACCCGGACGTAAACCCTGAACAGGTTGTAAGTGGTAGGGATGTCTATGATCTCGTCTTAATGTTCTAGAAATAGTGCACCTGGAAACACCAATAATCCTGGAAATTTTTCTGGTACTCGTCGTGGGATCTCTGTCAAATTCGTGCAAGATTCGCTGATTCCTCCTATTTCTGCCAATATTAACGTTAATTATGTTGCGATCCCTATGGACCAGATTCAATCCGTCATTAGCGAAACGTTGATGAATATTAATAAAAACGTGTGGATGCGGCTGTCTTCTATTAGGAAATCGTCTCCGATATTCCCTAGCAGCTTCTGCCGAGTTCCCATTGGCAAACCCGTATACGAAGTGAATATCTGCGTATTCTTGGTTCGTAAACTTAAACGGCATTTTGAATTTGTTGCAATTTTTTTTAATACTCTACACACAATTAGAAACTATAATAAAATAAGCGCAAATGTCAATATTAGAATGACATTTCAAGTCTGATTTGATTTCTAAACAGTATTTTCGGTTTTTCTTAATTCGACTTCTAAACAGTATTTTCGGTTTTTCTTGAAAACGCCACCTCCTATCGACTTTGGACAAGAGGGTCTTTTCTGGGTAAAATTGAATGCTCTTTCATATTTTTCGAAAACATTTGCAAAATATCAAATCGGCTATACTTTTTTTTATAAAAATATGCATAGAGACCCCTCTATCTCCACCACTGGAACTAATATGCGATGATTTTCTGTGTCAAATTATTAGCCCTCAAATACTAAGTCTTTCGCCGCAACATGATGATTTTTTTGTCAGCGGTTATTTAGTTAAAAAATAAATAAATAAAACAAAAATAAAATTGAACGCCCTGTATCTCAGAAACGAAGCGTTTAGGGCCCATATATATATAGGAACTTTTAGACTCAAACTGAGGTCTTCTACTGATTCCTGAAGTCCTGCTATTTAAATGTGAGACACCCTGTATATGTGAACTCGGATATGTGTGTATGTATATTATTAAACTACTTACTCAAATCAGTTCACAAGTGCTCCAAAACACACAAAGATGATCGAAATTTACCCGCTCCGAAAATTTTACCAAAAAAAAATGATTAATTTTTTTACCATAACTTTTGTAATTTTAAAGTTATAAATTTACTCAAAAAACCATTTTGTAGGGAATTTAATGTACTTTAAGTTCTGTGATTTGCAGTTTTTTTAACCCTCCATTTTTTAGATTTGTAAGCTAAAAGGGCTCAGGAAAGGCAGTCTTGGAGCTTAGTTTTGAGCTTCTAATGGTCATAACTCAGTTAAATTTTGTCCTACAAACATTTAAAAAAAGCAAATTGTTCAGTAAGAAAAAACCTACAATTATTCTATCATTTTTTTATAACTTGAAAAAAGGCGAATTTTTTAAAAAATTCAAAAATTTTATTCAAAAGTAAATGAAATATTTTTTGAATTTAGGCTTCTTAATTGTTTTTTTTTCCGTCAAGTCATTAATTTTAATACCAATTTTTTTCTGAAGAATCAAGACAATCATTTTATTTTGATTGTAACTTCATTAGTTTTCATGCTAACGACTTTTACCATTGCTCAATTTAATTGGAATGAAGTTATCCACACATTTCCAGCTACGACTTATGACACATGGTACATTGAAGGTGGGATAGATGGACCAGCAGATATGGGCGGGGCTAGACATGCGCATGCGGTGTATACGCAATAAGCGCATAATGTAATTAATTAATCATTCTATGATGAAATCGGAGATATAAAATACGTCAATATAATTTGTCCAATACATGGGAAAAGCGAGTAACTAAATTAGTTTTAAAATGAAGTCAGCATCTCTTTAAAATCATTTAAATATAATAAGGAATTAGGGCCATAAAAGAAATTTTTTTTCTCGAATTGTTTTAACGGTGCCACGTGCTCGCTCAGGAAATCTATAAATATACACCCCGTACTACTACCCCACAAAGGGAAATGATTGTAACCAGCACCAGATGCGGGTAGCGCCCCTCTGAATTAATTTAAAAATAATAAGAAATTAGCGCCACAAAGGAATTTTTCTTTCTCGAATTGGGGGAACGCTGCCACGTGCACGCTAGGAAAATCTATAAATATAGGCCCCGTTCAACTACCCCAACAAAGGAAATGATTGTAACCAGCACCAGATCCGGGTAGCACCCCTCTGAATTAATTTGAAAATAATAAGAAATTAGTGGCACAAAGGAAAATTTTTTGTCGACGGGTGAATGCTGCCACGTGCACGCTCGGAAAATCTATAAATATAGGCCCCGTTCAACTACCCCACCAAAGGAAATGATTGTAACCAGCACCAGATCCGGGTAGCACCCCTCTAAATTAATTTAAAAATAATAAGAAATTAGCGGCATACGGTCTATAGATATAGACCCCGTACAACTACCCCACCAAAGGAAATAACCACCTCAAAATTTGAATTATTTTAAAGAGATGCTGACTTCATTTTTAAACTAATTTAGTTACTCGATTTTCCCATGTATTGGGCAAATTATATTGACGTATTTTATATCTCCGATTTCATCATAGAATGACTAATTAATTACATTATGCGCTTATTGCGTATACAGCGCATGCGCATGTCTAGCCCCGCCCATATCTGCTGGTCCATCTATCCCACTTTCAATGTACCATGTGTCATAAATCGTGGCTGAAAATGTGTGGATAACTTCACTCTAATCTCAATTTAAAGGTCTTTTCAAGAACTTTAATAAGTGTTACATAAGTTTTCCTCGAAAAACCTTTAATTTTTCCGCTACAGGACGTTGAACCTTTCGATTATAACTATCTTCGAAATTGACTTCAACTTCTGGGAGTCAGCTCGGGTTCTATACCACCTACAAACATTAAAAAAGCAATCTCTTTGCTACTTATTTAATTACCTTCATTTTTGATTATGATCGTTTTTTTGATAAAAATTAGTAGTTTTTGAGATATTCGCGAAAAATGGCTCAAAAACATCCTTTTTTTGGTCTAAAAACGAACATCTTTAGGCGCAAATAACTCAAAAAGTATTGACTGTACAAAAAATTCTTATAGAACATTTTTTGCTTAGAATTCGTCCCTCTATCGAATCGTGAGGTTATTTTTTTTTAAATTCCCACTTCAGAAGGGGTGGCATCCGTCCCTAGGGTAAAAGCACACATCGGCACTATATAACTTTTGTTTCTTGGGCTATTCCCCAGCTACAGTTCAAATTTCACGTCAATCCATTCCATCGAAAAAATTGACTATCAACTTTTTTTTTTACTATAAATGTGAATAATCAATATCAACACCTGTATCAAATTTAAATAATGGCCCTTCAAATGATTAAGTCAGTTTCAAGCTGCTATATCTTTCTAAGAAGTCAGAATTGACTCTTAGTTAATTTGACTTTGTTGTATTAATTTTGAACAAGGAATACCCTGTAAGAATTTAACAGTAAGGGACATGTATAATATTACTTCCAATTTCCTTTTTAGACACTTCGATGCTGTAGAAACACTACATGTTGAAAATAATTTATCGACTAAGTATAATGCACAGGATTTTGACTATTTATTAGTGCTCGATTTTGAAGCATATCGTTGCATGGCCTCC